TATATATACAGCGCGTCTCGACGCGCAAATAGGAGAAGAAGAAGAAGGGAGGCATTTAGTACGGGACAGGGGGAATAGCTTGGAAGTTGAGAGGAGCAGCGGGAGGGAGAAGCGCGGGGAGCTGCGACACCAACACAATCGGTTTGTCCTCTGCCCTACGCAGCAGCACCTCGTGGGCTGTGAATCAGTGTCCCCCTCGTCCTTGCAATCTGGCCGCTTCCACCGCGTATTCGCGCACAAAGCTGCGCGCCGGCTCCCGATTCGGCTGCGGTAGGATCGTCAAGTCTCCGATGAAGGTGGCGACGCTGTGCACGAAATTGGGTGCCACCTGGAGAGCGCGGAGCTCAATGAATACTCGGGTCGTCTCCCGGCCAGGCAACAGCGTCACGTCCACGTACACCCCCGCATACGTCAGCCGATCGCAAAGCAACGAGTACGCCGCCAAATCCGCAACCCCGGGCGCCGGCACATTCACTTGCTGAATGTCGTACCGCAACTGCCTCTCCTCATTGAACCGATGCCGCAACAGGCGATCTGCAAGTGGCGTCTGGAAATGCTCGAGGGGCTCATGCTCCGGCTGGCGATGGTTCATCCTGCTCCGTGAAACTCTCAGTACCAATGGACGAGGCAGATCGGGAAGAGGAGGAGGAGGAGGATGAAGAAGGAGAGGGTGATCTCACAGGAGCGGGGGTCCGTAGGGGACCTAGCGATGGCTGGAAAGGCCGGAGCGCGGCCGTGTGCCGTGTCAGCGGTCGGGCCTGGGAGTTGTGACGGGGAATCAGCTTCACGGAGTGTTGTCCCTGTGCGCAAACTTTCGTGACCTCGTAAATGCCTGTATAGCTTGGGTGGATCTTGGAGTAGCGCGCAGATTTCCGTACCTGCACCAAGTCACCAACTTTATAGCGGGGTAGTGGTCCCGCCGACGTGTGTCGATTCTCGTAATCACGGATTTGCCGTTGATGTGTCCGATCTACGGCCTGCTGTCGACGGCGAGCTAACGGGGGATAGGCCCTAGCCATTAAGTCCATGTAGTGGCGGGCCTTGTCTCGATTCTGGGCCCGCGTTGCTCTAACTTTCGTACCTACTAAGGGGGACAATTGCACCCGAGGGACACTATTGGTTCTCAGTTGAAAGGGGGACACCCCAGTAATACTGTGTGGGGTAGCCCGATAAACGGCCAAAATGTGGTCGACAATGACCGGCCAGGGTCGGGTGTCTCCCGCAGTGATATTACATCTAAGGGCCGTCTTAATCAGTCGGTTGGTATTTTCTACCAGGCCATTGGCTTGAGGCCAATGCCCCGACGAGTAGATAATCTTAACGTCCGCCTTGACTAGGTGACGTTCTACTTCGCCTTGAAATTCCGACCCATTGTCCATGTGTACCTCTTCTACGTCTAGATGCATGCACAAAAATCGATTTACGTACCAGGCTACTTCCTGCGAATTCCAGTTGGTCATAGGGTACGCCTCGATCCATTTTGAAAAATGATCGACGGCCACTAAAAGAACATTGAGTTCTCCCTGATCGACGGGCCCTCTCGGAACGTTGATATCCGTCGTATCGATGCTAACCCTCTTAAGGGGGCGCTCTACACGAGTGGGCACCATCGTCCGAGGCATCTGTACCGGCGCTTTGTCCGCCGCGCAGGCCGGGCAATTTTCAACGATGTATTTCACATCTTCCCGGATTCCCGACCAGTACCATCCGTTCTTTTCTAAGGCTTTTTCCGTATACTTGACCGCGAAATGGACCGCATCCTCTTCATGAGCGGCTCGTGTCCAATCGAACCTAGCGAGAGGGTGTGGAACCGTCAACCAGCTAGACCCTCCCTCATCATCGACTTTTCGTTTTTGTAACGTCAGTCCCTGCCAACGATAGTCCTTTGCCCGCTCCGTAAGTCTCCGCCTCTCAGCTTTACTAAGTTCTGACAGCGAGTCGCCTGACAGCCTCCGTAGCAACAGAAGGTCCGTCCAGGCTTCTGCCCAGCGGGCACTTCGCGCAAATCCGTCGGTTGTTCTGGCGTCCAGATACCGCTTCTCGGTAGGGACTTGGTCCGTTCTATAGTTGGGACAGACCCATGTCTTTTCACTTCGGTACCTAACGCACTGTCCGTGAGATTTGACCGCATGACACCGACTACATTGTACCCATAAAACAAAACTGGGCCCTCCCAGATGTGACCCTTCTTGGTCCGGGACCATAGGCAAAGTACATAAGAAATAGGGACTTAGATGCGTTTCAGGGGACGAGTAGGGACTAGACGAGAGAGCGAGGGAGTTGGATGAGGGCAAAGAGATCGCGTCTGCCATCTCCGGCGAAACCTCCATTCCAGACTAAGGCGTCGTTCTTGCACAACACGTGTAGCTCTCCGTAGTGCGGTTTCATCGCCGCGACTTCTGGCCTCCACGGAATGAGTCGCTCGTTGGCGGGACACTTGTTGGGTGGCAGGAGGCGTGTTAATCCATCGGCGTTCCCATGCTGCCGCGTGGCACGGTGGCGGATGTCGAAGTCATAGTCTTGCAGACACACCGCCCACCTGCCCTGCGTCCCCGTGTAGTCCGAGTTGTTGTGTAAGGACAACAGCGACTGATAATCTGTTACCAACACAAATTTCTGGCCATAAAGATACGGTCAGAAATGCTGGATCCCCCACACCACCGCCATGCATTCACCTTTGCACGCTTCGTAATTAGCATGCGCCTGGCTCAGCGTCTTGGACGCATACTCAATGACGTGTTCCCTTCCGTCCGCCCCGTGCTGAGTCAGCACCGCCGATATCGCCTGAGGCTGTCAGTCTGATAACAGTGCGAACGGTCTTGTCGGGTCGGGGCGCACCAACACAGGAGCAGATGTCTGAGCCTCCTTCAACGCTTGAAACGCCGCCTCGCATTCCGGCGTCCAGATCAGCTGTTCCTCTTTCTTCAGCAGGTTCGTGAGGGGCTTCGCTATACCGGCGAACCCCTTGATGAAGCGTCGGTAATAGGATGCGAGCCCTAGAAAAGCCCGAACCTGGGTGAGTGTGATCGGCGCTGGGGCTTCTAGAACTGCTGCCACCTTCCTCGGATCCGGTCTTAGTCCCTCGACCGTGACGATGTACCCCAAGAAGAAGATCTCCAACAAGAAGAACTCGCTTTTCTCCAAGGTCACTTTGAACCCTTCATCTTTTAGTGCATGCAAAACCCACTCAATGTGTTCCACGTGGTACTCGTGTATTTTTGAAAAGACCAAAATATCATCCATGTACACAATCACGGAAAAATTGATCAGGGGATGGGTCAGTCGGGTTTTGTTAACGAACTCAGCGAAGGCCATATTCATGGCTCGCTGAAACGTTGCAGGGGCGTTACAAATTCCCATGGGACACCGGACCCATTGCCACGTGCCTTCAAATAGGACAAAAGCGGGTTTGGGTCGGTCCTCCGGTCGGACTGCGACATGGTGAAAACCGTGTCGGATATCGAACTTGGAAAAGACTCGAGCGGCCCCGATAGTATCCAACAAATCGTCGATTCGCGGCAAGGGATACACATCTTTGGTAGTGATAGCGTTCAATTTTCGGTAGTCGATACATACCCGGACCGAACCATTTCGTTTTGGCACGAGGACCACGGGAAAAGACCACGGTCCTAGCGATGGTTCGACCCACCCCAACCGCTCGAATTCCCGTACCCTTTCCAACGCCAGCTGTCTTTCTTTGAGGGAATATCGGTACGGTCAGCAATGTATCGGGGCGTGATCCCCGATATCAATCGCGTGCTGTATCAAAGGGGTTAACCCTATGTTTTGGTCGTGAATACTGACGGCCTCAGGATAGGCCCGTATAACTGCCAGGAGGATGTGTCGGTATTCATCCGGAACACGGGCTGGTAACTGAACTTCTACGGTTCCCCCAGGAAGGGAGACCGTCGTCGTAACCGTGGGGACTGCCGCGTTGGCATCGGGCGAGGCCTCAAACAAAGAGTTGTCGGTTTTCGCCAAAAGGACAGTCGCAATCAGTTGACTGTCCGCCGGGCTCATCGGCTCGCTTTCCATGTCACTGTTACTATCCAGTTCGGGTTCGGCCGAGGGTTCGACCGAAAAGGCCTGCGCCAGTTCCCTCGGTCCCCACCGATACTCCCTTGTTCGGGGTTGAAACGACACCCCCTCTTTCAGGAGTATCGCGGCTTTTTCATTCGTGAGTAGGGGCCGTGGGGGTYGAAAAGATAAAYCRCACAGCCCCCTCAGCTCGGTAAATCTTTCAGGTAGGGGGTCCGTCCTGAGATACAAGGACGCAGGGGGTTCCGATAGGTCAGCTATTCGGGACACCCTCAGCAGGGGTTCCCCCTGCACCACGGAGGAGAACGCGTGCGACCAATTGGACTCGATCCGAACTATTTCCAGTGGTTCTCGCCGCCAAGAATGGCGCCACCGATCCTAAGCTCGGATCGGATATCGGTCGGGTACATCAGTCTTGTCAGTTTCCGTCGAGGGTTCATTTTCGTCTGGTGACAGGCGTCAGATCATGTTGATTTGATAGGCTTTCGTGGTGAGGCGAGGCGCCAGCTGGGTACACGTGCGCACCGCCAGTCTCATTGGTATCGTTTGGGGTTTGGGGTGGGCCGATGTGAGCACCACCTTACAGTTGTCAAAGTGCATTCGCGCTCCGACCGCCGCCTGCCACGGAATGCCTAGCAGAACATCATACGCCTGTACATCCAGCACGATCACGTCACACAAACAATGCACCCGCCCCACCCGTATAGGCATGTTCATTATTCGCCCTTTACAATGAATATTGTCTTCCGTAGCGGATATATACAACTCATCCGGTCAGAGGGGATGAACCTGTCCTTCCCTTCCCAACCTTTTCGTCAATCTCCAAGAAATGGCGACCGCCGACGATCCGGAGTCTAGGATGGCGGCCGAGGGGTTTCTCCAGACCTCGCAGTCACACTCAACGCTTTTCCAGGTTATAGGATAGGCTCGGAGGAATACATCGGGTTTTTCCGAGGCAGAGTCTACGGTCTGGATCATTCCTATCCGGTCGGCTTCGTGCACCTTTGAGGTCGAGGGCGGCGACTCCTCGTTTGTGGGTAGGTCCCGTAGGACCGACTTTTTGCCCTTTCGACTTTCCTCGAATCGGCGCCTGTTTTTGGGGCACCGTTCGATCAACTTTTCGTTAGCCGCTTCGGAAATGGTTAGCAGATAGGGAATAGGGACGGGGATCCGAAGATCCAGAGCCTTCAAGGCATCCAATACGTCGATATGGCCATCCTTGCATTCAGGGCCAGGTGCTGCAAGGTCTTCGAACCCTGGTCGCCACGGCCCGAGGTCGCTTTGCTTGGTAATTCGTTGGACGTGACGTATCACTCCAATGGTCCCGGGTTCGAACAAAGCCGCAACCATGTATTCATCGGGCCCTATCTCGGTGGCCGCAGGGGTCACCATTTCCGTTGCCTCGGTATCCATCACCGTGGCCACCCTCCCCTGTCCTGCAACGGTTGGAGCAGCCAGCGGGATTTGGGAAGGCCCAGCAGGCCCACCCTGAGCTCGAGGTTTCGGGCAATCTTTCGCAAGGTGACCTGGATGATTGCAGTTATAACAGCGTAGGGACTGGACAGCCCCGACCGCGACCGGTCTTATCATAGGGGCCCCGGCGGCCATAGCCGCTTGTTGCCGTTGTGTGGCAGCTAGGCGTTGCCGCTGCAGGCCCTGAACAAACTCCGTCAACGGGGCCACTACCGTAACTAATTGGGCCGCGACCTCCTTCATGGACACTTCTTCTTCACCCCGGCCTCCTTGTGCTTGACTAGGGCGACAGGAGGCCGAAGCAGAGGAAGACGCTCTCTGATCCACACCTTTTTTGTTGGACCCAACTCGAAGCGATCTTCGAACATTCGTGTCGTAGCGGAGTTGCTATTGCGTCGAACACCCGAAGGGTCATCTTCGTCGGATTCTGAGTCTAGGCCCACATCGTAATTTTCTTTCCCGTACTTAATTGCATATTGAATTAGCTCCGTCAGGGTATGTTTTATAAGGTTGCATTTCTTGCGGATCTTTTTCCGCAGACGAGAATCTGACAGTCCTCTGATGAAATCAATCCGTACCATTTTCTCGTCCACCCCGGAGCGTTCGGCTAAGTACGTAAAACGTTCAGCATATCTGGCCAAGGTCTCCCGAGGCTGCTGCGTGTTATCCTTTATTAAACGAAGGCATTGACCTGGTGCGATCTGATCAAACCTATCGAGGAATTTCCTCTGGAAGGCTGCCCAATTGGTGAAGAGGTTATGTCCATACCACTCCAACGCGGTTCCGGCTAACCTTCCGGGAATTCGTTCTCGGAGCAACTGATCCGACCAGCCCTGGGCTTTCAAGGCAGCTAGCCAGGTGCGAGGGTCGGTGTCGTCTTCGGAGAAAATAGGAACTTCGGAACGAGGAGGTACAAAGTACAGGGGATAATTCGCCATCCCCGCGTGGTTGTCGCCGTCATTTTCACCCCCAATTCCGGGTTCCACCATCCCGGGAGGTGGGTTTCGAGCCCGGCCTCTCGCTCGGTTTTGATTGCTATTCGCGGGTCTCCGTCGACGGGGAGCCAGCCTACTCAAAATGTGAAAAATATAATGAAAAGATCAAAAAGAAAAAAAGGAGAAACTTTAAAACAGGGTAATCGTCCTAGGAAAACCTCGGAGCCGAAACGAACCTCGCTCCGATACCAACCTCACGCCCCCTCGCGGCTTCCCGTACGGGGTCGCCGATCAGAGTTCTAGGAGCGGCGTGGCCGAGGATTTTTGGCCATAAGGGTTGAGTCTCCCGGAGGGAACGGGAGGCCCTCGTTTCGTGCCAGAGGTTTTCCCCAGAGTCAAACTGTCGTCGCGGAGTCCCGTGGGGGTCGGATCACTTCGAAACGATAAAATCAAAAAAGGTTCCGCAAAAATGAACTGTCGTCATGCATCGGGACGGAAAAAGGCATCAAGCGGGGGGAGGGCCATGGCGACGGAGGACAAAACTTCGGCCGTCAGGGGTTTGGGGGATAGGTGGCGGGTTCGAAGCCTTCAGGCCTCATCATCGGCCTCACAAAGTGGCCAAACCCTCAGGTCTTTGTTGTGGAGGTGGTTGGTTCGAGGCCTTCAAGCCTCGGCGTCGGACTCACAGAGTCCGCGCGAAAGTTTCCGGGAGGGTAAAGCGGCGGGAGGACTCGCCGACATCTGAATTCGAAATTGCGTGGGCAGCGCCCCCGCACTACGGGAAAGCTCGGGGAAACGTGTCGCTCCCTCGTAACCCAAGACCAGCCGTCGCCAAGAACACGAGTCCCCCTGGCGACACCAACGACAATCAAACTGCGGCCGCCACACGACGTGAGCGGCCGACCATGGCAACACCGTCAAACCTGTATATGGCAATATTTAAGTTAGAGTCGGGGAATCAAAACGATCAATCAAAACAAACCCGTTCCCCCTTATCTCACAAACCCGAGGCGGGTCTTGCCAACACACTTACTCCGTCCGCCTCAGCGCGCGCCGTACGTCCGCATCGCAATAGACGCTGTCGTCATCTGCGATGGGGAAGGTCGGTAGCGAGATGAGACGATCGGAGGTACGTGATGAACACGGCAAGGTCCCGTGTTCTCGTTCATCCAAACCAACACCGAATCCATACAACAATCGTCGCAACTCTTCTCTCTCTAAGGTGGGTGCGTCGAGGGAAGACGACGAAGTCTAAGCTCTCTCCCCTTGCGGGGGCGTCGACCGTTCACGCGGATGCAAGCGATTGACGTCACCGGTACGGGGGCGAGAAGCTAAAAAAGCGATGACTATTAGTTCAAAAAGGAAAGCAATCGAGAGGGAGAGAGAGAGAGAGTGAGTTACGCCGAGACCGCGCACCAGCGCAGGAAAGACCACTGAGGGGAGGGGAACAACCGGATCAACACACTCGTACTCCTAAGCAGACGGTCCCCCAGTTCAGTTTCCCCGTCCCCGCCCGGACGAGTACATACACACATACGTGCATGCAATCAACAAACTTTGACAGGACATCTAATCATCCATGGACCTTCGACATCACTCGTGCGCACCACCAGCTCCCATCACTCGGGTCTTCACACACACGACATGCATAGACAAAGCAGCAATGGAGATAAAAGCAAGTCCTTCTTGTACACAAAAATTTCAATTAACTGCCGCCCCCAAGCGCAGCCTTCAAAACTCCCCAAGACCACCGACCACCATAGCCACAAGGCCCTGCCGCGGCTGGCGTCCAATCCCCACTACTGCTCAGTCCCTCCGACTGCTTCGCCCCGAGACAACCGCGGGTCCACCCCACGTCGTCACTCCGCCCGTCCTTGGGCTTGTCGAGCCTCTTCGGTGCCGCGGACTCTCGCGCAGCATTGCAGCCGAGATCAAAGAGAGAGAGAGGAGAGGGTTGCGCAAATTTATAGCGA